TATTAACATAAAATCAGTTTCTTGTAGATCATAGTTAGCGTGAATGCTGGTACACTGCAACACGGTACATGTAAGTTATATTTTCTTCCACTGCTCTCTGTTGTAACATCAAACAAGTAAACGTTGGCGAATTTAGGTCGACAAAGTTCACTCTCTCCAGCTGCTGTTTCTACTTCCTCTGTGTAGCTCCTCTCTTCATAGAAACTCTTTTGTTCATCAGTTGGAGAGACGAGCCGGCTCCATTCCCCCGTAGATCCTCCTCTGCTTTGTGTTAAACCTTCAAGAGTGATAACTTAAACAAACTGAGCTCATAAAAACCTTCTTTTCTTATTTCCTTGTACTAAGGTGCCCTTGTTAACGAGTTCAATAGCTCGAAAATAAATGTATTTTCAACACAGACTGCTGCATTTACGTGTCCCAGTTTTCACAAATTGGGACAAACCTGAGCGTGATAGCGGGAGGTTTTAGCGACGCGCTGGCCTCACAGACGGTTACATTTAAACTGCACCAACAAGATATGAACAATTTTTGTAACAAGTAAAATGTAATATAATTAGAAATGTGAAAAACAAAGTATGTTTTCCCTATCCTTGGAATGACATTTGATTTCTGTTCCAGGGGATCCAAGCTAATTAAAGAATCATGTGTGGGCCATCAGAAGTAGGCCTGTCACCCGCGACCTATTTTGAACTCACAATCACTTTGGAAAAACACAAACCGAAGAGAAAAGCGTTCATCCTCGGTGCAACCCGGCTGAGTACTCACAAATACTGCAGCGTCACGATGTTCCTGAAGGCATCTGGGTCGATGAAACTCAGGTGCTTTGAATTTGTTATCATTCTGAAAGAAACACATCCAGTCATGTGTTCATTAATATAAATGACTCGAGCTGCAATTACAGGCTTCCACCGCTGCCATTATCCTGCCAGTTCTACTCACATCTCACAGAGTTCAGGGAGGTCTGAGAAGGCAAAAGCTCCGATACGCTCCAAAGCCACATTCTGGGATATTAAGCTGAGAGAAAAGACAGGAATAGATTTTTTTAAAAACACAAAGGTGTCAAGCCTTCATTCACACTTATTCTTCGGAACATTTTGTCTCCGCTGCCCTGCCAAGCAACTATTTGGGTGATCTCAGAGTTTTGCAGCTCTTCCTGTTCCATTGCAAAGACTAAACACACGAGCACGTCTGATAAAACATGCTATATGCAGCGGCGTGTAGACATGTGCATACTCACATGGAAGTGAGCCGAGGGAGGCCAGCAAACGCGAACGCGTCGATACTGTGCAGCACGTCGTTGTCATGTATGGTTCTAAGGTGGAAAGAAGACGGAAACAGTGAAGGATATCAGTACTGGTTGTGAGTTTTATTGAAGCTTTAGCCACAAACAAGACAGAACATACTGGTAATCTGAAAGTTTTAAGAAGATCACTGTACTCATGACCAAAAAAAGGAAATGCTTCCATTCAATGCAAGCATTTAGAAGTCAAAGTGGTCACTAGATAAAGTTCAGACAGGTCAAATTTATGCTTTACTGCAGTTCACAGTTGTAGTTTTCATGCTCCAAACGTTATATGAAGCTTTAATGATAAATCACAACAAGTGATGATAAATATTGAAGATTAATATCAATCAAATAAGTTTTACTTTTCCAGTGTCACTGTTTTTTTGATTACAAAATCTGGGCTTTGTGCAAGAAAATTCTTTCATCGGCAGAAAAATAATCTGCAACAACTTGGACTTTTCAAGTTGAACTTGTTGGAAATTGTAAACGACATTTTTCACTATTTTCCGATGTTTTATAGACGAGACGATTAATCCAAAATTGAAAACAATGATAGCTTAAATAATAANAACTTAATGGGAATCCCTCCGATTCTTGTCAAGACATTAAAAATGTCAACGTCATTCTGGTTCTACACAAACAGTTAGTAGGATTAATGCTCAGGAGAGCCTGAATATCAGTACAAAACTGGATCATTGTGATATTAGTTTGATGACTGAGGTGGAACAATGGACTGACGTCATCGTGCAAACCTGGTTAGTAGCTGATCGTGTGCTTCTGTTTATTTCTCATCAGTCGATGTTTCACCTGCGTCCCTACACGATCCATTGACTTTTAACAGCTTATTTTTTATTTGAACTACCTCAGTATACATCAGTGACGTATCTAGAAACTCCTACATGTGGTGGCAAAGCGGAGGAAAGAGGTTTGGACGGGGTTCTGTTTGACAGCAGTGTCCCTGTGTAAAACTATTATTTCCAGGTAAACAGACTCCTTTGTCAGGTCCTCATCTCTTCTCTCTGCACTTCGTCCTTGACTGTCTCTCCTTCCTATTCTCTACGTTTCTTTCCATATCTGCCTGCTGTCAGCTCTTCAGCGTTTTCTCGCCGAAAGACCTGAAAATATGACTTTGTTTAAAATTCCTCATCATTTTTTTGGTTCAAATTCTCTGACCTGCACGTGTCAAGATAGAGAAAGAATCGAGTTCATATCCATGTCTGACATGGTGCCGTAAGCAGGGGTATCACGCATTCTCAGAGGGCAACTTCACAAGTCACTGCTGGAAAGAAACGCAATTACTTCATCCTACAAATTCCCCAGAGTGCATTCATTCATTAACCAGTTAAAAAAAAGTTAACATTGATTTTTTAAAAGAACATTCTTGATGGAAAGGGCTGCCAGGACATCAGATTTAATTATAACTCACTACGATATTATTGCAGTAAAATTCATCTTTACATTTGTTTATTATGTGTTTTTGGTCTTTTTTTTTTTTTGTAAATGAATTACGCGTAAAATGTGAGCGTAGGCGCGATGGTTAGCACCGTCGCCTCGCAGCTAGACGGTCACCGGTTCGGTAAGGACACCCGGGATCTTTCTGTGTGGAGTCTCCATGTTCTCCCCGTGCAGCGTGGGTTCTCTCCGGGTTCTCCGGCTTCCTCCC